ATATCTGATGGGTAGGGACTTTGGTTTCAGAACCCAGAATAGTTTCTTAACGCTTGAAGATATGATCTACAAGGCATATGTTTTACTTTTTTCCCAAAATACAGTTAACAATGCACAAAATATTTGAGGATGTAGAAGTGTGATGCACCTACTGAATATTAAAAAGTCCTTCACACTTCACCATTACAACCTTCCGTTCATTTTCTGGGCTGACTAATGCTAAAGCCATATGTATTTTTTGAGTGCCAACAAGTGAATTTACAATTTTCATTTCGTGCATCCTGTTGTGTTATTACGAGTATATACAGTTTCTTTACATAGTGTCACATGTTCGGAACCCAGAAGAGAGACTTCCATGGAAATGGTAGAATAGACCGTTGCATAGGAAATAACAATAGCGGTACTGTAGTTCTAACAGGAGATGAGTCTCCATGGTTATAACGAGGGTTCATGGCAGAGCAGCGGCCGAGGTTATAAAAAGGGTTGAAGGCATTCGCCAAGTTAGTTGGAACCTAGACGCCATACGATATAGAAGAAGACAGCAAGAAGACAGTCTTGGAATAGCCGCCGTCAGAGATAGCTGAGATCCAACCACAGCCAAGGATAGTTAAAGAGGTCGCATTGGAGTATTGGGCCAGAAGTCAAGTGACATTGCAAGTGGTACTAATTGTAAGGTGTGTAAGCGTGAGTGTCCAATAAAGATTCGCTAAATCTAAGACCTACGTAAAGTTATTTGTCGCATGCCATACTCAACATGTGACAATAGTTTTGATGTTAATTGTTTAGCCGGTGCCTCATCTTACATTGTACTTGTATTTGTCTGTTCTGTAGGGAACAATCTATATTCCCTCTAGAACGGTCAAATACATTGTAAGATGAGGCACTGGCTAAACAATTAACGTCAAAACTATACTACATCTATACCATGGGCCTCCAAGCAGTTTATTAAAAGTATAAAAGTCTAGAATACGCCATTATGTCTGCGGGAATATAACAACAATTGCAACATACTGACTTGATGATATAGAATATCACATAACAGTTTTAACCTTATTTTATGTCATAACTTTAGTTTTAATAAGTTTAATGTATTTTATAATGTATTATCAAGTGTCCAGCTTTACCATCATAACTGCAGTTCAGTGGTGTGTGAATATGGTAGTCATGTGTTTGCCTGATGACGGCTTTAATAGCCGAAACATGTAGCAAGCTGATTTTAGCCTTCACCTTTATATTGTTGTGTTGTGATGGGCTGTAATAAAGAAATTGTAAGTGAATTTACAGTTTGATGGAAACATCATTCAAGCTGTGACTAGAATTCCCCAATACATATCTAAACAAAAATTTGGAATAAATGAACTTCCTGACTAGCAACTGCTATTCATTTATTAGTCAGCTCACCAAAATACAAGGTGCGGCAATAAAGAAACCGGATTCATGCTCTAACCCTTTATTGATAAAAAATCAGACAATCAAAATGTTATCCCCTTCAATGTAGTCCCCTCCACGATCCCTACACCACTCCATGCGAATTTTCCACTGTTGGAAGCAGTGCTGCAGGTCATCTTGTGTTATGTTCTTCAGGAGTTGCATCGCTTT